ACACTAATATAAATTATATAAACTTGCATAATTTTCTATTAAATGTTTTTGATTTAATAAAGTTACAAGATTAATTTAAATGTACAAATAACCATACAGCGTAATAAATGATGATCAATGTCTAATTGATTTCATTTATTTAATAACCATAATTCAAGTAATAGTAACCCTAATACAAGCAGTGCTATGGAAGGTCTAAGATGTGCCTTCGAGCCCACGGCTACGTCCAGTGCGGCCGCAGACTTGTCTGCCTCCACATCACTGATTAATAGGACTTTTAGGCCATTCCTGAGTACCAGTCCTTTGTATTCACGTTTATCTCCAACAGATTTAATGATGTTTTCATAGCTTTCTGCTATGAACTCAGAATTTAACTCATTTTCATTCAAAACAGTCATAATTTTTGAATTAATTTTAAACAATATCGTTGACACCTTTTATTAATTTCTGAAAGGTGTTAGGAAAATTATTTATAAGTCAATTTGGTTGTTACTATAGGTAATATTTATTTCGAAATGAATAATAATTTTATTAAACTTATTTGAATACTGTTGCTAACAAACACTTATTTGCATAATAAGAGCAAAAACTACACAATTGGTTCTTATCATGTTTTAACTCAGTGTTTGCCAAACTTTATATACAATCAATAATTGGAAAATTTGTATACATAACTAAATGTTGAAATATTTTTTGGGCAAAATAGTCAATTCAGTTATACTGTTCAATTCTTTTCAGCATTTAATGAAAACTATTTTGTTTGTCATCAAATTAAAGTAGTGCCATAATGCTGGTATACCTTACACGGCATACTGTAATATGTTATAACTTATAAGTGTTTACATGATTTATTGCAGAGAAATAATGTATAAAGTTATTATATAAGGACAGGTGGAAGCTATACACCTGTTTATACACTTTGTATTAAAAAGTTTGTATACAGTTTGGTAGGTCTATGGTACCGATCGGTTGAATATGTTATTATTAAATATTGACAATCATTATAATATGCATATAGTCGTAGTAATTGCTTATATGCGACAGCAAATTGTGACTGTGTAAGTTAATTTTATTACTTATTATTTATATAGCGCTTAATGAATTTCAATATAACTTAACTTATTGAATATTAATAGTAAATTCACGTTAAGTATGTTTTTCATTGTTTAATATTATTTTATAACAGTTTTTATAGACTGATAATAAATACCTTGTTGATACATTTGTTTGCATAGAATAAACAACTAATATACTATATAAAAGTTAATTCAATATAAAATACAATAATTTCTAACTAAATGTATCCAGGTTTAGACAATAGCATAGACATCGACCACAGGTTTGCGTACAGAATAGAGACCCAATTGTGTCTTAAATTGTGTTATGTTTTCAATTCTTATGGATTCCTGAAATGAGTGACAAAATTAGATTGGATTTAAGTAATGGTAGTCAATGACCACAACCATACCGGTAGTTTTGGGGCCGGCATTAGATCCGCATTCACTTCATTCAAATGTTTTTCATTGATTGGGTTTTCACTGATTATACTGACCGTCAGTTTCTTACGATTGGTTGAAGTGTGGGAGAGATGTCTCTGTTTTACAAATCAATTCATTAAAAATTTAATTCATAATTAAAATAAAATTAAAAGTAATAGTAATGACCTCAAAGAAGGCAATGATATCCTGTTTTGTCAACTCTTTGATGGCTTTCACTTCAATCTCATCCCTATTGAAGTCATACTCTTTGGACGATATCTCAGACCAAAGTCTCTGAGAATATTCTGACAATTGTTTCGGTTTCTCGAGTCTTTGTGTAATGACTGACTGTTTCTGTGTTTCAAAGTCCTTATCACTCATGTCTTCAATGTATTTGTGAACCCATTGTATGAAAGCCTCGATTCTCTCATTCAGTTCATTGGGTTTATAATCGGATTCAATGGTGAAAGTCATGCCTAAAAAGTTAATATCATTTAAATTCCTATAAATATTATTAATACAATAAAGATTAAGCTTTGGGGCAATAAGTTTGTACGCATGAAATGAGGGAGGTTAAAAAATGCTAATACACAACTAATACATTTTCTAGGTTCACTACCATTCGAGTTAGTCAATAACTTGCAAATATTTTTGTATGCCATTATTGAATGACCCATCAGAAATAATACTGACCCCGAACACTATGAGTCATCCTATAGGAGGCCCACACAACGTAACCCAACTGTAGTTTAGTCCTTAAATTATCAAAAATGGGTTCTTTCAGTATTTGCTGCAATAGTCCTATCTTTGAGTTTATTATGGTATCCGAGACTCCGATTTGAAAGTAGAGTTGAATTGCATTTGTCTTATGGATGCCATTCGTGGCCTCAAAGTAATGGTCGGATCCGTCGGGCAATTGGACGACACGATTGCGGAAGTGTTGCGACAGTGGTATGGGTTTGGTATTGAGGGCTGACTTGAATCGCGACTCAAACACATCGCAAACATCTATGGCTTCACTCGAGTCGATGTTTCCGTGGATTAAGGCCTCGATATGGAAACGGGACAGTAGTTGGGATACCAATGCTGATACATCGCTGACTGTAATATCATTAGCTGTCTCTAATAGCTCCGCATAAGTCCACTCCCGGTCAACGATATTCAGATTCGTATAATAGTAGAGTAAATAAGGTATATTATATGTTTGGTAACTTTTAAGCCTACGGATATTAAGGTCTTTAAACACATCAAACTTTTTAGGATCCACTTTGAAAGCAATTAATTTATCCAAAACAGTGGTCATCAATGAGTTTAGTTTTTCGTTATATCCGCCAAATGTTAGCTAATTATAAATAATTTAATAATCATTATATTTACTGTACTTATAACTTAATGTTATATTACAAATAATGACGATTATATACTGACAGTAAGTCCAGTTTCAGTGTAATAGAAGTTGTAATATAACCCTGCTAACTCAGCTGAATATGAATATTCATTTATAGAATCCACAAACAATTTTGTGAATAAATAACTGCAGTTTGAGTGCATAGGGCTATCATCTGCGAGTGGACTAAATAGAGTATGAAATACATAATTTAAAAATAAACTTGCTCAAAATTATACGTATTTGTTGTATACCGTACTTGGTTAGTTTGAATTTATAGTAAGCCTTTGGAGTGCGGTATTGATTGTCCTGCAAATGCCAAACACGAGAAAACTCTGTGTTTCTAATCATTTGTGGCATTTGTTTCACGTTATCATCGGTTGACTTAAGAGTAAAGTCATAGGGAATGAAGTCATTCTTCGGGGGAAGTGCTAAGTTGCCATTGAATCCAATGTTTAGCCACTTCTGGATCTTTTCCGAAGGAATGTCTTGTTGTGTGTATTGAGTTGAGAACCACTTCTCTGTCTGGTCTGCAATTGTGGTGAACTGTTTGGACACAACTGTCACTCGCATGCGATCCGGAGTCAAGTGATTGAGTAAATCAGTGATCAAATCGGGTCTAAACTCATCCAACAAATATCCAGCACTTAGACACTCATCAAAAGGGTAGTCCTAATTAAGAATAGATTTTAAAACACAAGTAAAACTATGAATAATATAGTAATAGTCAATACATGTAAATCACGGGAAAGGCTGATCACGTAACCCATGGGTGTCTCCTTTTCTTTAAATCTGAACCTAATTTCTTGCATTTGTTTCAATTCTTCAAAAATCCATTGCTTCGGACCCTCTCTCTGAACACAACCAATAAAAATTCATTTATTTATACAACTCATAAAATATTCTTGAATACAATAAACTGATTCATACTTTAAGTAAATTAATGTATTGGAAGACCAATGAAATGATATCATCGATGCTATCCATAGCCTGTTCAGTCAGATCGACATTAATTGTTGCGAATGCGAACCCCCGGTGCCCACCAGCCGATGCCCAGGCTATTAGTCTGGTACACAAATTGCGGGCTTTTAGCTCCGATAGCAAACTACCCGGCCCTTCGTGTCCGATAAGGTGTCCAAGCATTCGGTAAGGTTTGGATCTATTTAAAGGATTAATTTTAATTTAATTTTTATTAATTGTAATAATTTAAATAACAGTTATACTTGTAATGGGTGGTCATATCGGGGACTGGGATTTTAATGGTAAGACTCCTGTAATCCATATTCGGCACAATAAAGCATTGCTTTTGTAGGCATTCAGTGGTGAATGGATTTGTTGTCCATTTGGGAGCGATTGCACTGTTATTCCGGATTCCAGAGAACATAGGAATCACTAATTCTTGTAATTCTGGTATACTTTCTGTGTATTCATAACAACAATAACTATTAGTATGTAATAAGTGGTTAGCAGTTATGAGGCAAACCTTTGCCCAAAACGACTAAAGACATGATATTTGCTGAATACCAGCGCTCGTGAAACGACAGCAACTCCTGGCGGACATCAATGCCTTTGGCGTAAGGAATCTCTTTCAACGACTCATTATTTCCTGAATTGAATAACAAACATATTATTTTGAATCCGTTTTCCATAATACTGTAGGCGTTTGCATTAATTATGGTAAGGAATTAAAAATACAATACCAATTGAAAATTTGCTGTAATCGTGGTTAGGATCTGACAGAGATTTCTCTAACTGATGATTTCTCCAGCCATCTCCGGGTATATTCCTCTCGTACTCCGAATTAACGGCATTTAACTCCCTTTCCGTCGCACTCTCTGTGAACAGCGGCTCAATGAAAAACTGTGCGAATCTGACCATACATTTGAAAATTTTATTTAACTTTCTATAAACAAAATCATATGTTTATATGAATGGTGTGGACATACCTGTCGAGAGCACCGGCCAAGAAATCTGTTGATATATTGAAGTGATAGTTGGTATGAGTCTCAGCCGTATAGGCATTACATGAGCCCCCGTTACTTGCGATGTATTTGCGGTAATCGTTTTCTACGGGGTATTTACCGGTGCCTAAGAATAGCATGTGCTCTAAGAAGTGGGCCAACCCTTGCACATCCCGGGGGTCCGACATCGAGCCCACCGCCACATCCAGTGCGGCCGCAGACTTGTCTGCCTCTACATCACTGATGAGTAGGACTTTTAAGCCATTCCTGAGTACCAGTCCTTTGTATTCACGTTTATCTCCGACTGATTTAATGATGTTTTCATAGCTTTCTGCTATGAACTCAGAATTTAACTCATTTTCACTTAAAACAGTCATAACTTATGTGTTAATATTAAAAAATATCGTTGACAGCTATAATTAATTTTTGATCAAAGTTTTAAGAAAATTATTTATAATCTTTTTATATACTAATTATTTACTATAGTTTAATTCATTTATTTTAATAATAATTTTATTAAACCCTTTGAATACTGTTGCTAACAAACACTTATTTATATAATAAATGCAAAAGTACTTATCACGTTAAAACATAACAGTAAGTACAGTATTGCAATGGGAAATGATATTTTGATTGTGATTATTAGATTTATAAGACTTTGTTTCCTATCAGTTCAGGGTTATCAAGCATATTTCTGCAATAAATTAATTTGTTTTTATTTATAAAGCAAAATACTTAATATTTATCAAAATGTTATCTCTTGGCTAAATAAACATTAAATAATGTATTATATAGTATGTTTTTATTTTATAATGATTTTATATATTATAATTTTTGTACAATTTATGAATACAACACTTTTATTGTTTAATGTTTTCAGTTCAGTACAAAAGTTTGTTGATTAAAATATACATAAAAATGATTTCTAAGAATTATAGACTATTTCAATTGTAGTATTGTATTATTTTTTGAGAATAATTTATTATCAAGAGCAATCTATTTTACATATTGCTTGTTTAGTTTGCAACACATTTATGTGATTTATCGAGGCTATATACATTTATAAATAGTTTCAATTGACATACTGTAACATGCCTTTCCATGCGCTCTGAGCACTCATTCATTACATGGGGAGGGAGTTATCACTTGATGCTGGTGTCAGCTCCTCATCCCTTTCCCAAATGAAACCAATGTTTATGTTTAAGACATCAGACTTTACATACACTGACTGTTAATTTGTTTTACAAATTATGTTTTGTTTAAATTGAATAATTAATAATGCTGCTAGTTTAGTACAACAAATATTATATCACTATATAATATTAAGTTACACTAATATAAATTATATAAACTTGCATAATTTTCTATTAAATGTTTTTGATTTAATAAAGTTACAAGATTAATTTAAATGTACAAATAACCATACAGCGTAATAAATGATGATCAATGTCTAATTNTATATCACTATATAATATTAAGTTACACTAATATAAATTATATAAACTTGCATAATTTTCTATTAAATGTTTTTGATTTAATAAAGTTACAAGATTAATTTAAATGTACAAATAACCATACAGCGTAATAAATGATGATCAATGTCTAATTTATTTCATTTATTTAATAACAATAATTCAAGTAATAGTAACCCTAATACAAACAGTGCTATGAAAGGCCTAAAATGTGCTCATGGTCAGTTAATAAGGGTATGGGAGCCTACATATGATTTAACATGGGGTGACCTCATAGCCAGGGGCGTCATATATGTCGTGGCACTGATCTACCTGTTCATCGGTCTCTCTATAATCACCTC